GGAACCTCTTCTAAGCGGTTCGGTAGATTTGACGAACCGGTTCTACCAAATAGGTGCAAACTGGTAGGAACCCACCTCTGGGGTGTAGGTTGGTGCTGCTGAGTGATACCCACTGTATGTTTCTGAACAATGAAGTGTCAGGCCTGCAGCTTTCTTTTGGATCATTGGCCTGCCACACTTTCTATTATACTGCTATGCATTTTCTATTGTGGGAAAATGGGAGGGGGGCTTGTGTGGAGTTACCTACTGTGTAGCCCAAACAAAATTCTTTCTAGAAAATCAAGGTCATCCTTTGTCTCTGCACCTGACCGGAACTGGATGGGTGGAACTACCAGCATGGCAGTAGGAGATTGGACCATGTGACAGAGTCGTGTGTGGGGCATGATCTTGAACTTTCAACTAGGTGGGGAAAACCCGGAAGCTTTCAGATTCGGGTTTTCCCAGATGTGCCAACATGGCTCTTTTAAGAAATCGGAACTTTGAACAATACTTTGCCTTGGATTCTGAGTTACTTTTGGATGCTATTTGGAACCCTGGCATGAAAGCAATGTTTCCACCTAGTAATGCTGGCAGGAGAAAAGTGATTGTGCTGTGTGTTTCTGGGTTCCTTACCATTGATAGTGGCATAGCTGCGAAATTTCCCACTCACGTGGTCCCACTCCAGGAAGTTGCACCGTCCAGTAAAGGGCTGTGCAATCACCAAGTTCTCTTCATCATGGTAGACGAATGTTTCTATTGAAAGAGACTGCTCTGGCAACGTGTCAAAGAGGACAAGTTCTGTGGGGAGAGGAAGGTGGGAATTAGCATTCGATCAGGGGTGGAATCTCGCAACTCTGGTGGCCCTTCAACTATTCAGAAAGGGAAACTCACTTGGCAGCCTGGAATGCAATTCATTAATAGATGCATTTAAGCAAGGGCCGATGCTGGGTTTAAAGGTTCCATGCACAACATCTTTGATTTGCTCATTACGGTTTCATTTTGCTGTCCCTTATGGCTGATCCACAATGATGAATCCTGCTGGGTCAACCCAGAGCAAGGGAGAAGAATTTGCAAGCCTGAGTTCCTTGCGTCATCGCCTTGCAAAATTTAACTGTGTCTTCACGCCTGGCCTGACGTTGCTACTGAATGGCTTGTTTTGAAAGCAACAAGGAGCCAAATTTAGGTTTCTTCCTGGCTCTTCCCAATTCTTGGAATTGCATCCCCCAGCATGCTTCCCAAAAGTCAAATTCAGCTTTCAGACTAACAAAAGAGCCAAGTATCCAGAATATTGCTTCCAACGGTGGCAACCAAATGTCTATGAGATGCTCACTAACAGGTCATGAAAGCAATTAAGCTACGGTCCACCACCAACCTCCAGCACCCAGCATTCAAGGAAATAAGACCGCCAGAAATAAATGTTGTATATAATCATCATTGTGATGAATAGTCCTTGCAGAGTCCTCTCCCAGATAATAAGTCTTCTCCAGAAGATTCTGAGGATAAGGACCATCAAGACAACACATGACATCAGGCCAATGGGCAAGAACACACTTCCTAAGAGCCACTGCTCAGCCTGTCATTCAAAAAAAAACCAACGTTATTTAAATTAAAGTAGGCACCTTGTGAATATAAGCCAACACTGACTTCAGCAGGATCATCCAGTTTGGGAAATAAAATGAAAAGAAGGCTGGGAAAAAGACACCACAAGGCCAAGCCAATCTGTTGTGGCCCAGCAGGAGCCGTTGGAGCTGCCACCAGACTCCGACAGCGAGGGGCGCTATGAGTCGGCTCTG